ACATCTGGGATTAGAGGTGCCACTCGGAACAAAAATATCGAATGAGGAACCGTTAGGCTTCCTCCCGAGACGGACGGAGAGAACGAGTAGTTACTGATTGTCATCTTAAGGAAAAGTTTTAACAATTTCATAGATTTTAGTGTAGATATACATTCTAGTAGACACAATGACTCTCGTGTAGTCCAGACTTTATTGTACAGGAAAATGTTAGCTTGCTGACTAGGCTCGATGCATGTATGCATCCATGGTCAGTAGTTGATCGCGTTTCAGAACATGCAATTCTAGCCTTATGAAATTCACGCCCCATTTCACTCGCTAGAGACTGCTGGGGTATAACGATGCATTCGGTTTGGGGAAACTCCGTTCGGCTTAGTACTATTTGAAATAAACTGCGGCGATCCAGAAAGCTGCCATGACCGGTAAGCCACGATGATGTCAGGGAGACAATTGATTGTAAACAAAACAGTATGGTACTTTTACCATAGATGCCAAGCTAGTATAAGTGACTGTAAACTACGTTCACTGTGAGGTGAGACGACATTCACGCCATTTTAAGCAGACGAAGAACAAATACAACGTGACCGCAGTATTTTCGACGGAAAAGTGACAAACTGACCAAACCCCGGGGGTGATTAGTGCCAACACGAATGATGCCATTTACAATCCGTCACGGAAAGCTATCCCGGGGGCAGATATACATAGTCCATACAGTCGACTGAGGCATGCGATTTGTAATGTGTCAGACAAACAAGCAAAATTTCGGGCAACGACACAACACCTGTGATGTTCAATTAACTTAGAATCGATCTGTCCTCACTTTGTCTCGCACTGACAACATTGCAATGTGTCACTACTCCAGAATGTGGTTTGAACAGAGTGCGTTAGGACCTAGTCCTAGTTCACGAATATGACGCACACACGACCCACGATCAGTCACACAAATCAGGTCGACACTGTTCAGGCGATAACGAGAAACACTTAGTTTTCAGGTCAAGTTTGGACAAATATGAACTTCTATAGATGATAAATGGTATCTCCAAATTGGAAAGCGCCTATTACGTACGCTCTATTTGTATGCAGAGATGACCGGCAAAATGCGAAATTTCGAGTTACATGCTTACTGAACGCTTGGAAGATTCTTTAAACAAGCATGGTGATCCGAACTCGGTTTGGTAATGAACCAATCCGATATGTACAGATTATTGAATCAAGACAGGATACGCATTATGCACTCAAGTGCACGCACAGTGCATATAGGAAGAGATACCTGAAACGCATGCACACCTGAAACAAGTGCTGAAAATTAGATTTTTTCACAAAATGCTCTATCAATCTAATTATAGACCCGTTGTAACCCGATTGGAGTGAAACAGTGTACTCTGAAGGATTAAATACAATGAGTGAGGTGGCTCTGTGACGCTAAACACTGTCTACTCATTTTCTATGCCTTTTTCGTTGTACTCCATTCTCAGTTATGCATTGATTTTGCCGGAATCAACCCAATGCGTGGCCTAAGGGACAACAACTAGCACGAGCGCACACGTAAAAAATCTAACTGGGACAGACGAATAAAATTAAACAAATGAAATCAGGGCGAACAGTTTGGGAGAACATTTTCCCAATAGTGTATTTGTTAACATGTGAGTTGACATCCATAGAGGTGCAGAACAAGTCCCAGTCTCGATTCACATGGATGAATAGCTACTAAAAAAAGCAATCAGCAGTATGCTCCAAATGGAAACGTCAGTTAAAAAAATAACACCTACCCGGTTCCAGGCGGTGGTGTGCAGTTTCCGCAATTCCAACTCCGGATATTGGAGAGCGAAATAAAGTTCCGCGCGAACGCGGGCCTCGAGTTTGGCACACTCGCGTTGGATTAGGTTGCCTTCGACTTTGGATGAAGCTAGATCAGCATTGGTAACAGCCAAAGGGGAACTGGATACGCGGGCCCCCGTGATAAACGAATACGACTGAGTTCTGGAAACAAAATGAAAGACAGTTGGGATAAAAACAAAACATACTAATCGTAACAACAATAACGAGTAAGGACAGCGACTGGCCCGTTTCATTTCATAATTAACCATTTAGTTTGCACACGGAGTGTTTGATGGACAGAAGGGGATAAAGGTTCATTAATATAACTTCCTTTTAGTCGATTTTAATCAGTCAAATCACAAAAATACCCTATCGACCTCATATCGCCCGTTGGACTAGTATCTACAACGTAATGAGTGGACAAGCTGTTGAGCCAAATAAAGGCGCTGTTTTAAGTTTAGCCGTATAAGTGTTTTATTATTTGAACACAAGAAAATCAAAGAAATAGGCCCAAGATTAAGATAGGATAAAACAAGGCAATATAAACACTTAATAAACTTTCAAAAAAGGTTAACCGTGGAACTTTGACGAGATTCAAATTATTTAAATAAGTTCGGTTGCACCAAGTTTCCAAAAGGGTTCTTGTATCGATCACACCAGGTTTATCCGTGTGTGCCAGATTCCACTATCACTCAAGTTTCCACTATCTTCTGAGTAGGGACGAACTAGCCTCGTGAAGTTTCGTGAAAATTCAATAAGAATGATATTCCCGATTTCGCTAAGCTTTTGTTTAAGGGTGCGAGGCTGCTTTTTACAACCAGGTGAGACCTACAATTTCGTCCGTTTGTATGCAAAAACCGTAATCCACTGTCAAGTTTACTCGGGTGTACGTCGTTTGAACGAGGTCACATCCAATTAACCTCGGTGCCCGATCAGGCCATTGAGCAATAGTAATAAAACCAGTTGAGGCTCCCGCTGTGATGAGTGCGGATTTGGGCAGCTGTCCCATAGTCGTCACATCTGTCCGTAGGTGACGTTACTGACAAACAGGATTACATCGGGCAATGAGAGATGAGGATGATAACAGTTCGACGCCGATCTGCAGCATCTCTGGTGCAGTCAGTATCTAGCTCACCAGAGTCGTCTGCACAGCAAACGGCCGATAACAGACATGCACACGAATGAGACAGGAGTAGGCTTGGTACTGCGCCAGGGACAGTTGTGTTGTCGAGAATAATGGTAACACGGGGTTTCTTCATCTCCCCCCCCCCCNTGGAATTCAGAAAAAAGCAAGTTCAACAGGGACGACATTTTCAATTCTTTTTTCTCGAATGAAACGCCAATACAGAAACATGGGAACCGAAGGAAGATAGGTGTCTGCTGTTAGAGTGGTAAAGGATGTTTGGCATACCGCTGATATGATTGATTATACACAAATCCGCATTCCAGTTCCCCTAAAAGGATGAAATATCAATGGAACCTCAGGCAATCTGATTGTTTGTAGGAGGAGGGTAATTTCGATGGGGATAAAAAGAAAATCTTAGCACAATAAAAAACTGATTTCAATTAACCACATGCGCATGGGCAATTAGCCGAGAAACAGGCAGAGGGAAAATCAAGTATTAAGAAACGAAAGCACAATTCAATTTATTTCTTGTACGTGTCACTTCCCACCGGTCAGTGGGATTATCGGTAGCTTGCTCACATGTGTGAAAGTGTTGAAAGAAAATGTTGTTGCTGTGACGAAATAAAAAAGTGTAGGGGAAAATAGGAGATGACAATCTACAGTCAATTGCTGCGCCCCGAATCGTTAACAACGGACAGAGCACATAGTAAGGTGTCCTCTAAGCGCGAATCAGAACTGGAGCATCAGAGATGTTTGAGGCGAATCAGTAAAGCACAATAGAGAGAGAGAAGGAGATAGTAACAATAACAGGTGCAATAGACAGAGAGAGAGAAAACGAAAACATGTGCGCGTGTTTGCTGACCAAACAAGAAAACCACAGCTGGTTTCTATGCCTCAGTGAGATCATTATTCATCAATCATCGAGTGCTCTGGACAGAACACAGATAAACATGAAAATTTCAGGCTATCAAAAGGGGACGCATTCACGAAATTACAGTATATCCGTTGCAGAGTAATAGTACTAGTTTTTCTACCCGTAAAATGAACACCACCGGATCGGGATATGAACGCTTACGGAAGTCTGCAACAGAATGTTCATCTTAAAAAGATTGTCCACTAAAGTTTAACCGATAAAAGTACGTCGTAGTGATTGAATTACGCGTTTAGGTTCGTTTCATATGAACCAAATCAAGAAAATAATAGTGCATGTTTTGTGTAGGTCATCTGGGTATCAAAAGGGAATAGTACAAAAATTGGAAAGCGGATCGATCGGTCTAAGTGAAATTGACAAGAAAATATAGAAACGGAACACTTCAGGTAGTATAATCAGTATAGGATGACAACATGATTGTATTAGGTCACACGTGCACGAGGAAAACGGTTAAATCGATGCAGATAATTTGTTGGCACGTGTGACACTGAATGTGCCAGCAGACACACACACATACAGATGCAGTATCAAGGCGAAGAAAATAACGTGGTAATTACATGAGGCAACTCAGTGTCGAAAGCGATCAGATTTCACGTACACACACACACACACACACACACACACCTCGGTGTGTCTGTTTTAATGGTGTATCACTCACACCAACCAACGGCGAAGATTGACAGCTGTTCTGTCTTCACTCAACGATCATTCCTGAATATTGTCTAAACCTGAAACAACTGCTTCTGTCCGTTCTGTTCGCATCGCTAAAGGGAGTCTGTGTTTTCCAGGAAGAACAACTGCTTGCGTGGCTCACCAACAACACACATTCACCCTCACAAGCGTCAACCGAACGCGCAACGTCAATTGACGATCTAAATCAACTGGGTCACATTGTGCTCGCTTGAAATACGCTCTCAAATGAGAACATATCCTTCTTAACCCTAGATGTGACATTTGTTTCATTAGCCCAACATTTATAAAGCTAACATCACAAACAACCCTGTCAACGCTCATTTCTACAATATTTCACGGTCCTAACACAAGATTAATGTGTACGGTAAATTATTTACAATATATCTTCACGCTTTGAGGCTCAAAATATTATGGGTTCCTGGTTATTTTACATTAAAATTTGTTGCTGTATACATTTTGCCGCGTTCGTTGCATTGTAACTCTCTTTTTTGTTCCAAATCAAAACCTAAGGACCAAATGTTAAATACCCGGTTCGTTAAATTGGTATATACTTGTGTACCACGAGTTGTCTTTGCAGACCTTACCGTACACCGATCAATTTTTCAAAAGAAAGCCGTTTCTCCAATATCGAACATAAGTAGACTTTTCCAGCCTTATGTGCTGGCAATTAAACGTGTTCCTTCTGGAAACCCCACTAGACTGAGAATGATTATTCTCTACCTGATGCACATCGTTTGCTTTAATATCAATAAAGATTCAAACATTCGGTGTGTGGATGAGGACACGGAATAACTACATCATCTGCATATTTGTGACCCCGGCGAATAGGAAGAAGAACAGTAGGAAAAAGCAGCCAGGATTGCTTCATGGAACAGGCCATGGGATTGAATGAAAAAGCCGAAGAACGTCCGTGCAACTGCTAAACACAGAGTGCACATTGCCACTAATGGGACATGTGTGTGTGTGCAAATACAAACAGCGTATTGTGTACTCGGTTGCTGTGAGAAAACGTCAGATGCTCTGTGTTCAGCCGTGTGAATGGGGACAGTAGGCGGCGCATGGGAAATAGAGCGAGAGAGAATGAAGAGTAAGACAGACAAGAGTGTAGTAAGCAAGTCAGAATTGAAACAACTGGTATGTTTTCCGTATCACTCTGAAACCAATATGAGTTTGATATGCAACTAAAATCCGGTATGATGCAACCTCATTGCAAAATCAGCCTTCAAAGTCAATATTGTGTTTAGTNNNNTAGTTGGTCCGTTTTCTCCTTCTCTTTCTGAAACTGTTCACACCAGTCGGAAATCGGTTGCTTCTGGAGGACCACACACACCTCACTATGAGTATCTTAGGCAGTCATTGCATTTTGTACAACATACGAAGTGCGCGCCTGACGTAACTCCAAAAAATTTAAACTGGCGATATGTGGGATGCGACACGAAGAATGCAACTGACAACTGAAACGGCTAAACCGTAGGCTATTTCTATCTTTGGGTTTACCACGTTAAGTGTGTACAACAATAGGCGTGTTTTAAAGAAAAACACGTGATCTGTGCCTACAGCATGAACAAGGAAGAACGAAAGTTGTGAAATAAACCAATCACCTTTTCAGTCCCGCTAGCATTATATTACTATGAGAATCACCATTTATACAGTCGATCGATCGGATTTCGCCTCCGAAATCGCATCACATGACCTCACTCACATTTAAATCAAAACCTAAATAGAAAAACAGTATTCAAAAAATCCGCTCAGATTGCTTCTGGTTACTTCTATTTATCAATGTTTGTTTACGAGAAAAATAGTGCAATGAATACACACTGAAAAAAAAACAAGATTAATAACAACGGTGAGGCAAGAATTAACTTCCATATACTTGTGGGAATTGGATAAAGTCGTGATCTCTCTTACCCCACAGAAAACATAATGCCAAAACATGGAATGATAGGCAGTTTGTTAAACAATTCGAGATAAAAATGGTTTGAATGAACAATTTACATGTAGCATTAGGTGATGTGATTCTTGGAATTCAGTACTGGTTTCCATATATGAATAGGAACAGTGGCTTGGACACGACAAATTAATAAGTAGGTCATGTAGTTACGTAACGGTGCTCGTCGGAGAGTTTATCACATTAACCCAATGAAGGTCACACGCATTCTCACCCTAGGATGAAATGACAACAAATATAGCGCTCAGAATTCCGTTTTGTCCTAACTGTGCAGTTGGGCTGCACTTTCGTCGCAGTAGGGTACACAGACTTCTTTTGACTCCGACCCTACTCGTTTCTTTTCATGACATATCAAAGGTCGGTGAACAGTACACACTGCATGGGCACAAGGATTGCTTATTCAACTATGATCAGGTTTAACTGGGGAAATGGATCAATCCTTACTTAGAACCACAACCGGAGAGGATAGATATACCGAGCCACATACTCTGCATTGTTCGGCAACTAAGTGTTGACAAACGTCAGAAGTTGATGTGCAATTGTAAACAGTGGAATGCCGTTTTTCAACTGACCAGAAAATGATTGGACGCTGTGAAAAAAAGATAAGTACACCCGTATGCATCATCACCGTTGTAAGGCTAAGCGAACCTCACTGATAAACACGTAATGCATACAAAACTAGTGAGAATATGTAAGGTGGACAGGGATTGGACCTATTCTGAGGATGGGCGGAGAAATTGGACCTCAACGGTAAACAAAGGCACACAATCTGTGCACACACATTTTCAAGCATTCTAACTTGATAAAGAAAATAACAAGGATCATTGCTCTTGGTTTGCTGCCATATTCTTCAGTCTTTCCAATCCATCCATCACGGCGAGACTCAGCATTGCTCGTCCAGGGTATCGGACGTGCGAAGCTGAGGCTAGGCGTGGAATTTTAGGTAATCGCAGTCGTTCACTGGGGGCATGTGCTGCGCATCTCACCAGATAGGTTGCCACGGCGAGCGATGTTTGCCGAGGTAGGTAGTGGATGGAAAAAGGTCTAGAGCAGTCAAACGAAGACCTTGCACGAGGGTACGAAAATCCTAAACCAGGCCACTAGGTCACATAGCTCCCGTTAGGCTCCCTGAATGGGGACTCTGAGATCATGGTCACCGGTGGTTAGAGACACTGGGCGGTGCTAAAGTCACCAAATTATCACCACAGGGATGTGTGTTCGAATCCCACCACTACCGCTTGACTCCCCATTGTGTGTTGAACGGCGACCCTTTGATTGGCCACTTCCCCCTTCCTGAAAATTGTATCTTTGTATATTCAATAAAAAGGAACTAGACCGAAAAGACGAAGAAAGATATGGCTGGGCGTCGCAAACAGTGATACTCATGTATCTACTCATTATTCTTACAATCTCAGTCTATATGTATTCTTCATCTTCCGCTTGAGTTTGCTCAACATTACAATTTTCATTCTGCT